ACACACACACAGGAGCGCGCGCGCGCACATACAGTGTTTATACGTAGATATATGTTCTGTCTATAATAAAGTCAAAAGAATGCTTGCAAATTGTCTCTGTGAGAATTTATAATGTTTGTTTCGTAATCAAAAAGTATTCTCTGCATAAATTTCAATATAGGTGAACATAATAATGATATGATATGTGAAACATGAAAATGATATGACAGATACAAGATAAATATATCTTGCAAAGGCTTATTATATTACAATTCGAATTTAAGAAATAAAAATTTAGCTTTTCATGGCTAGGTGCTATATTAATATATATCAAATAATTAAATTCAAGAGATTATATAACAAAAAACTCAGTAATATATTAGTACTTATACAATATTCAACACAATCAGATCAGATTGCGATCTGTTCGACTTTCGCTCCCTATATGGGCTAGAACCATGACGAAAACATTTCTGTCTTTTCTCATTTTGTTCTCTTCGCTTTCAACATCACATGCTGAGTTTTAACCCCGTCTCATAATCTTGCGTAAGAGAACTAATATCCAAAGTCTGCCAATGGATAATAGACTAGTTAAAATATAATTTGCCGGAAGACATCTAAGCAAACGCAATCGTGTAGTGATCACAAATAAGATATCATCAAATATCATCCAAATCGATATTATTTAGTTGATCTTTGCTACTTATTATGCCACTTAAATTGAATCATTCATAACTTAAATATTGCCAAATTGAATATTGCTATTGTGGAAATATTCAAGTCGTTTCTATGTTACTTAAAGTTACTTACTTGGTACTCACTTCTTTATGTTTTCTCAACAATTTCACATTGTAGTCAAGTTATGCATGATCGATATACGTTGTGTGTATACGAAATGGGAACGAAACAAATGTCAATAAGAAACAATCAACATTCATGATTCAGCATTTGGTTGAGTCGAGCCGTAATACTTGCACTTGCATTATAGTTGCGGTGCTTGTGATTTTAGATCCTAAATTTTTGCATGTTCATATTTTATAGAAATTTCATTTTGCAGCCCGACTATTACAAAGACGCACCCCACTTTCGGCTGGTGGGTGCAGGACCACAATATCGATTGGAAATACCTTACGCTAAGCTTGACTTTACTGGAACGTATTCCGTAATAGCTCGCAACTGTCATGGAGAAGCTAAAGCTGTAATTTCCTTGCAAATCTATGCCAAAGGTAAGACACAAAGAAAATTTACGTTATGTTGCACAAATCTAATTAAATGATTTTCTTCAGGTCAAGGTAAAGAAGAACAAACGCAAAAATTTCCTCACGGGTAAGCTATTAGCTTACAATTAATTATAATTAATTACAAAAGCTTACAATTAGTCATGCACGCATACATTTCTATTTATCTTGTCCATTAATAAAACATATTAAACTCTATAGAAAGATACTGACCCTGCCGATTATAAAGAGAGAGTTGCAAGATCTTCGGTGTTGTGACGGCGACGCTGTCTCTCTAGAGTGTAAGGTTTATGCCACACCAGAACCGCCTTTAGTTCGTTGGGAACGCGGAGGCAAAGTAAGAAAATAATAATTAATAATCTTAATAATATCGCATATAAGTAATTTAAACGTTAATGACATTTAATATTATTTTTTGTTAGATTATAGTTATGATGGGCGATTTCGCTGCTGAATTCAACGGTGAGACAGCACGATTAAGTATCCAACATGTCTATCCTGAGGATGAAGGAGAATATACGTGTGTAGCTTATAACGATCTTGGAAAAGCGTATACATCAGCCTGTTTAGTTGTAGACGGTAATTTTATACACTAAAAGTATAACTTTTAAGAGATAAAACAAAAATATTTCAAATAAAAATGCGATGCGAATTGCGAACATCTCTCTCTTATTATGCATCTTATTTATTATGCTAATTGTCGATCATTTTCAAAGATGCGCAATGATATGACTAATGAAGAATAAAGAATTTATTATTTATTTATTAATTTTCTACGGAACATATACTTAGACTCATATACTTAGACTTGTATCTGTCAAAGATTCGAGCTAGAAACTTTCTTAAATTGTAATAATCTGCATTAATATCTATGTTGTAGTACCTGAGGGAAAAGAAAATACACTGAGTCAAAGATTAACGAGACCGATGGGTCTCCTATCAGCGGGATCGACCCCGAGATCGACACCACGATCAACACCAATCAGAAGCTTGTCACCGGCAGTTTCGCGTAAGTTTAAGATAAAGTGGAAAATTAATTTTTGTAAATATTTAAAAAAAGGAATAAAATTAAACAATTAAATAACGGTCATAGGTAGTCAAACGAAAATTGTTTTCAGACGGACGTGAGTTCAGATCACCGCAAGTTCTATCACGAAGCGACATGTCGAAGAGACCGAAAGTTTGTCCGCCGAAATTTTATGCGGTGCCGCATAATCGCTTGGTTCAAGAAGGCGAAACCGTGCGATTCCAATGCGCTGTTATCGGTCATCCTGCACCCTGGGTAAGATGGGACAAGAATGGCACCGTTGTAACACCGAGCGCAAGAATCTCCATCAAGGAACGAGATGATATTAAGATACTTGAAATCATCGATGTAATGCGAGAGGACGCGGCTCTCTATAGAGTGATAGCAGAAAATGACTTTGGTCGAATTGAGGCCAGTGCTCGTCTTGAAGTAATAAGTACGTATACACATATATCTCATAGAAAAGATATTTTCTTTCTATCTTACAAATCTTTTTAATTTATAAATATTAACTGTAAACTGTATTTATAAATATTAAAAAGATCGATACGAAACAACAAGTCGAACCATCAGAACTAGAAGCGCTTCACCTAGAACACATCCTATATTTGATCGGAGTCTTCTTCCGACTACCAGTAGAATAAATAGTCGTCTGCAATTGGAATGTCGCGTAAGAGGAACGCCGAGCGTAACACCAACGTGGTACAGGTAAAAATATGGAGATTTCAATTCGCAATGAATCAGCAACAATCGGCGAATATCATAACATTCTAAATTTTATCTAGAAACGGACGACCATTGGAACGATCCTCTAGAATAAAAAGATATTTCGATGGCACTACGGCCAGAATGGAAATATCAAAAATAAAAGGCAGTGATGCGGGTGAATATACTTGCATAGCGACTAATATACTTGGGTCAACGAGAAGTACTTGTGAGGTAAATATAAAATTATGTAAAAGTATGTAAAATACAAGCTAACAGTTTGTCAACTTCAATCAGTCCTTTTAAAGTCTTTCGTATTATATTATGTCTTCAACTGTGAACATATGACGTTATTTGCAGGTAACGGTATTAGATCCTTATGATCCGTCTTTCGCAGACAAGACTACACCGCAATTTCTGCGATCGTTACCGGAAGAGTCAATTGTCATGGAAAATCACTGTCATGAATTTCAGACTGGAGTCATAGGTAAAATTTAATTTATTCTTTAAATTTGTATTTAATTAAATTTAAGTGAATAAATATTACAAAGTCAGTAGTCAAAGTATCTTAAAATAAAATGTCTTTTTTCCTATTATATTAGGTACACCTCCTTTCACAATTACTTGGTATAAGGATGGTCGTGAATTACCTGATAACGATTATTATAAATACATTGTATATGAAGATGGTGGAGTTGCTCTCAGATTATCTAAAGTTCGTCCACAAGATGCTGGCGAATATACCTGCATTGTGCGAAACGATTTCGGTATTGCTTCTTGCAGTAATCTTTTTGCTGTTCAAGGTCTGATTTGTCTTTATTATTTTGTTTTTAATATTGTCACTAGATCGTTTCCTATTTAATACTATAATTTTATGTCTTTTTTTTAAATAGATTACAAAAATGTTTCCAAATTGGCACTCCAATTTACAAAAACTCCGCTATCAGTTACCGCCGCTAAAGGCACTATTGCTTGTTTCTGTGCCAGAGTGCAGTGTGAAAAAACTGTAGATATTATTTGGACAATTAATGGAAAAGATGCCCGAGAAAGCACAAAGTGTAAAGTAAGTAACGTAAAATAAAAAAAGATATGTATAAATTTTTATATTTTAAGCACGTTTGCTAATTGTCAATTGCTAATCATTATTTATATGTTTAAAGATTGAAAGAAACAGCAATGTTAGCATTTTAAGAATACGAGATGTATCATTACGTGACACAGGAGTGATTCGATGCACAGCTTCCATAAATAGAAAAGGTCCAGCCATCAGTTGTATTGCCAAGCTGCAATTACAAAATTCATTTTACAATCTTAGTAATGCCATGACAAAGCCTGAAGATATTCAGATTCACGCACATACCAAACTATCGTTAATAAACACTAATCTAGACATGCTGGAAAAAATTACAGAGTTATCATCATTAAAATGTTGGCGACGTCGCGAAAAGTCGCTAACGCATATCGAATCATCTTCATTTTCTCGGCGTGCGGCATCATATACTAAACATGTTTCTCCTTTACCAAGAAGAAAACAAATTTCTAACAATGTGTCAAATGATACCCAAACATTTCGAATCGAGGACGACTTATCGGTACAAAGAATTATAACGAAGAATTTAGATACTAATTTGGAATTTTCGAAAAGTCAAATATCATTATCTTCATTAAACGAAGAAGATATAAATGATACTTTCATAAAGTTATCATCAGTAAAGAAAACAGAAGAACTTTATCATCAAGCTATTGATCCTATATCGAACAACGAGTATATGGAATCCTACTTACGAGGATTAACAAAAGCTACTATAATAAAAGAACCAACTGATATTAGTGTAATCAAAGGAAGCGCGGCAGTACTCAGAGCAATTTATCAAGGATATCCCGAACCAACGATCAAGTGGTTTCAAGTGGTAGATCTACTTTTTTTGCTTTTAATACAGATTTTACCGGATTTTAAACAAAAGAAAAAAAAATTTATTTTGACTAATTTAATAAATATAAACAAATTTTGCTTGTAAAAAAGACTATTTTCAATAGGCAATCTGTTTTATTATTAAATGTATATAAATTACATCGTATATAAATTATACCTATATGCAATACGATCAGTTAAATTTAACAGTTAAATTTAAATATATTTAAGTTATAACACAGTACGGACCAACACGACTATCTTTACACGGAAATTAATCATTCGAAATGATCATTTGCTTATCTTTGGCCCTGGGAAATATACCGAGAGAAAGAGAGAGAGAAAGAGGGAGAGAGAGAAATTTCTTGTTATAATATACATAAAATCCCCACCAAAATGTTTAAACTTTGAGAAAGCCAATCGAAATATGTAGATTGCTTCTCGTGTCATTTAGTTTTCGTCATATAGCCACATACGCAGCTGGTGTAAATCAATTTTATCTGTGTTATATTCTTAAATATTGACAATATCTTCGATTGCATATTTCAGTATATGACATACAATAAAATACTTTTATTTTAATTTAAGAATCGAGAATTACGATCAGGCGAAAAGATTGGAATAGTTAACAGAGACGGTGTATCTCGTTTGACACTGGACGACGTGACGTATGATCACGCTGGAAAATACGAAATCTCGGTAGAAAATTCACTAGGCAAAGATCGAAGATTCTTTAGCTTAGCTGTGGAAGGTAAATTATTTGTTTGTATTATTGTTTGCTTTCGTAAGAAATTGCTCATATTCGAAAATTTCTGATACACTAATGGGCTACGATTCGATATTATTCGACTCGATTTTGACCTATTAAACTTAATTACGCGGAGAGAGTATCAGCGCCGTTAATCTTACTTACATTAGTAGGAACATTTTCTTACGATCAACTCCATTTTACATCTTTTACATTTGTAAGATCAGACATCATCTATTGTCCCTTGAGCATAAATGCATGTTGCACGGTCCAGTTTCTTTTCTTACGTACAAGGTAGACGGCAATCTCACGTGACACGCCGCGCAATAATTTCTCCTTTCCGCGCTTCCTCCACTGGCATAGTTCCACCTCTTCTTCCTTTTTCCTTGACATCGCCGTGCGTCCAAGTATCAGTAAAGACATGCGTATATCGTGACATCGGAATATACGTGTTGCAGCACATTTTAACGACATAACGTAATGGCATGTGGATTTTTTCAAAACAAGCACGATCGCTTCAAATCTGTGTTTGACAATTCATTAACATCATCGCAATAAAATTCATCATTTAAATAAATTGTTAATAAGATAACAGTACGCGTCATAAATAGTCATTAAAACTCTTTTTGACACGATGAATCTACGAAATTTATAAAAATATAATGCCTAAACATCTCCTCGCTAAAAAAAGATTTGGATTTCTACTAACAGGTCCACCGGAACCTCTCGCGGATAAACCGAGTGTAAAGTTGAGCGATGGTCAGACTACGATCGTTTGGCGATCGCCTCCTTATGATGGAGGTCGTACACTGATCGGATATACTGTGGAAGCAAGACGCGCCAGTGAAAGCACGTGGACGGTAATCGCTGAGTCTTGTCATTCGCTGAGTCATACAGTAGCAACAACTGAAAAGAATTCCGTGATACCGGGTGAGAGTTATTATTTTCGTATTCGAGCTGAAAATATTCACGGACTCAGTGATCCTAGCATGGAGTCAGAACTTGTCAGAATCTTAAGAGAAGGGAAACGATGCTTCAAGAGGAAGACGAAA